ATTAGGCTGCGGTCTGATTTGAGTTTTTTTTGTTGTTCTCTGTAATTCTTACCCATCCTAGAATGTGTTTTCGTGGAAGGTGATTAGCCCTGAAAATATTTCAGCTTGGATGGGCAACTTGGTAGGTGAAAAAATAGACTTGTTTAATAGCTGAAATGAATTGCGAAGGGAATACCTGGCTTAAGGGAGAGAAAGCATCTTGCTAATTATAGTAATGACCAGAAAACTGTGTAGGCACTCATTAATAGGTCAGAACATAGACAGCTGTTGCATATGACCCTTAGGGATAGCGGTTTAAGTAAAAGAACAGTTACAGAGTGGGAGAAGAAAGTTGGCATGCTAAGAGAGTGCCCTTTTATCTCCTAGCCTGTTATTTTTATCAAGGAGTACATAAATGGTTGAATAATCAAGGTTTGGAGCCCTCACTGCAGAATGTGTCATAAGATGTTTGAAGACAAATAGCCAAAAGTGAGTAACTCCCTTGTAAGTCTTGGTAGAAAAAATGGAGACTGATTTTTATTATTTTGCCTCTTACCTGCTTACGTTACTACCTTTGTAATTTATCTTAAAACATTTTTTTTTCAGTATAGTTTACTTAACCACATGTATAGTATTAAATTGCAGGCAATTACTTTTCTGTATAACAATACAGTTTTACTGAACAAGCTACCTGGACTTGCCAGATGAACTTCACCCACAATCAACAATGAAAAGTTGAGGATGTCTGTGCTCCAAAAGCCATACTTAGTGTTTTCCCTAATAGCTGGTAAGGAACATGTGAACAGGAAAACTGTTTCTCTTTTCCTCTATACTGCAACTGTAAAGTTGAAGACAAGCTTAAGATCTTGTTCTAATATTGTCCAGTAAATTATTTATTAGGAGCTCAAACATCTTGTATGTGAAGCTGGAGGAAAGCATGCAAAAGCAATTGCAGAAGAAGGTGGGAGCAAGGTGAAATCCCCAAACAACCTTTAAAAGTTCCATGTGTGCCAGAAGAAGGTGACCCTGCGTGTCGCCTGTTTACTTGCCCCTCAGGCCAATTGCAGAGGTCTATCCTTTGGCAGCATAGCCTCCTCTGGCTGTTTCTAAACTATCTGACAGCTGCCTCAGCCGAGATTTGAATAAGATTTGCATTTGTGTGGGGTTTTAGCTTGTGATCTGCATTTTCATGAGATAGCCACAGGCGTTAAGCCTTTTCAGAAGAAGGCGGGCATGAAGGACTGTGCTGTAATGGCAGCTTATACTCTTTCACACTAGACAACTGTTGCCTTTTTTTTTTCTTTTTCCTGCCCTTTTTTTAAAGGTGGAGTATGAGAATAAAGTCAAGAAATACTTAAATGGACTTCTGAAGGTGAGTGAATTTAATTTATTAAGCTAGGAGCAATCCAATTGCTGTGCTGCCTCTATAGTGTTGTTTGATCAGAAAATAAACAGAATTTCTAAAATAGCTTTATGAAAGTGGTTAAGGATTGTTTCATCCCTTTTACTAATGCAAATGCGTGCCAGGAGTGGTTGCCTATATGCTTGTGTTGCTATATCTTACTGTTAAATATTTCATTATTAAATTGTACACAGCGTCTGTGTCCTTGTGCTATTAACAATATTGTTGATTCTTAGTTATAGGTGTGCAAACTTCCTGTCTTTCACTGACTTATTTTGGCATAAGAGTGCAAAACTAGTATTTCAAGCATTGGAGTGGTTAGGTGTGAAAAACTGAAAGTTCAAAGCCTGGCTGGATAAAGTGTCTTTGTGTGTGTTAAACTTGAATAACAGCAAGTAATTAGAAAAGGTGACAAACAGAATTTAGTAATTTCTATCTTATATCTTTGAAAGGAATTAGCACAATTTTGGCATGATGTACTTTTGCATGTTAATTTTTTTTCTTTTATAGGAAGTGTGGACTTACCCATGCTGAATAAAAGTTAGCAAAAAAAAAAAGGAGAAAGCATTATATTGCAATGATGACTCTTAAAAATACTCTCCTGTGTTGTGTTGTAAAATTTGCTCTTGATTAAGACCAGCATCTTGCTAACATTCATAAGGATAATATATGTGCCAATACGAAGTGGCAACAACTAAATTTTTTATGTAACAAGAAAAAGCACAGAATAAGATCTTCAATGAAGAATTACTCGAATCTTGAAATTGTATGCAAATTATGAGCCCTGACTTCGAAGAATCAACTGCAGATTTTTTTTTTGGTATTTGTATATCATTGTTACTGCATACTTTTTGAGAGGACTCTTGGCTTATGCTGTTCAGAAGCCTAAGTTGCTTAGCAGTTTGTGCCTTAATAGGATTTTTTTTCAGTGTGCTGATGTAGTGGTTGGGAGCAAGCAGTCATACAAGCTTATGGTGTTAGTTTTACTTGATTTGTATTTTTGAAAATATTTGTTTGGATTTATTTTGTCTTAACGTTTTGCAAAATTCACCTTTACTTGTGTCTTCTGTTATGATATGAAGACAGGAATGGATGAGTTTTCTGAAACATGTGACAAAGACATGATTATTAACAAATATGCTACCTGCAGTTACTTAAGTTTAAAATGGCAAACAGTTGTGAAAGACTCCATTAAGCACCTAAATAAACAAAAACCCTGGTGTTAAAATTACATAGATTTTAATACGGTTTCTATTTTGGACTCTTTCCTTCCACTACCTTTATCTGTTTCCGTGTCCTACGTAATGTTATTAGGAGCGATCTATCCTGCTAATACAGCTGCCTGTACGAGTCGTGAGCAGTGTCTGTACACAAGTAATGCTGTAGTTAGTGTGGCTTTATTTATAATACACAGGAAATATTGTCAACATATGCATCAAAGCGTTTTTCCAGGGTTATTGCCTCTCACCGTGTGCACGTGGCAAGACAGTGATACTCCCAATTGACTTGGGTTCTAGTGTGTGAGGAAACTGGGCTGGGTGTGCAGTGTTGTTTTGCTGCATGCTGTTACTTAAGACGTAGTCAGGAGTAAGATGTAACTGAATTTATGGAGAAATAGCTGTTATTTTACTGTTCACAGGACTGTTTGTTCATGAGCCATCTCTTTTTTTTTTGTCTTAATGCAAAAAATATATCCCTGTATCCTAATGAAGAAAGGAAATCCAATAATTTCTTGCAGATTAACTACTGTAACTTGATGCAATATGGTTTTTTTAATCATTTTGTGTTTGCAATGTTGAAGGAACAAAAGGAAGAAGAATGGAGACAGAGACTGTTTTAAGCCTTAGACATCAACTCAAGGAAGCTGAGAACGAGCGAAGGAAGGCAGCACAATATGGCCTGCATTTATTGGAGTCCCAAAGTGAGGTTCAAAACCAGTTGGACCAAACACGCCGTGAATTGACTGAGAAAACTGAGGTAATGTTTCAAACTTTGAGGGGAAAAAAAGCAGTCAAGAGCTTTTGTTTTATTTCAGCTATTTTCTGAATGTCACAGATGTTTTAAATGCCTTTTAGAGTGTAGGTTAATTTTAATGAGCCTTTTTAGTGTAAGTATTTGTAGAGAGGGCTTTTTATCTCTGCTCTAAGATATTGAGCATGATTTTATCTGACTGGGGCAGGGTTTGAGAGCTGATTATGCATCAAGTGTTCAGTACTCTGTAGGATTAATTACCTTTAATGTGAAGTGAATAGTAGGTGCTAAAGTAATTTTTTTTTTAAGCATGTCTTTTTGGTATGTTTAAAAATTCAATCATGTTGTGCTCTCCCTACAAGCTTTGTGTCACTTAAAGCTGTAAAAAGAACACTACCAGCAAGACTGTAAAATTGATTTCTTCTGCATTGAAGTTTTCAAATTTCCTAGATATCAAGGGATTATGAATTTATTAGTACATTTCTTTACAGCTCACAAAAAAGGGTAGTGTAGTGTTGAAACTTGAAGATACTATTTAGTCAACTAGTTATGTTCATAGTTGTGAAAGAAAATTCTGATCAAGCAAATCTCTCCCACTTTTCATAACCACTTCAATTTTGATGTTTGTTTTTCAGTCAGCCCATCCTTCAGATAGACCATTTCTTCTCATTTAATCTGTTTCTGGCTGTGCATACATCCCTTCTCTTGTGATATAGCTAAAATGTTTGCAGTTTGGTTGCAGTTTTTGTTATGTTTTTTTTGTGTGTTTTTTTTTTTTTACACCAGCTGGAGAGTTGTGGTACCCTGCTCTTCTGAATAATAGCTTGTTTTTGCAGTTTGGTTGCAGTTTTTGTTATGTTTTTGTTGCGTGTTTTTTTTTTTACACCAGCTGGAGGGTTGTGGTACTCTGCTTTTCTGAATAATAGCTTGTTTGGATCAGTTTGCTATCATAGGCTTGGTGCAAGAGGGGCAGCTGGAAAGCACAAGAGATAAGGAAGGCAGGGCAGGATCATCCTTTCCTGCAGACAGCCTGAGTTGTAGCTACTGCGTTGTGAAACTGCACCCATAGGTTGTAATCTTGAATTACAGGCTGGAGCAAAGTTATAAACTAAGCTTGTGTGAACCAGATCGATTAGTAACTTGGAGTCCAAGGGCAGAGGGAAGGAACTGTGCTTTCATACAGTAGAGTAACGTCTTGTGTGGGAAGCGTGGTTATCCAACGGATTCTTTTGAGCCTTTGAATCTGTGGTTCTCTTCTTTGGAATCTGAGAGCCCAAGCAATTACTGTGAACACAACTGTAAGTTTTAACAGTAGGCACAAGAGTCTTTGAGGAAAATATCTGTGTACCCTTCTGTAAAAGTCTGTGTAGACATATCGTGCTGGATTTTTGCCTTCCTTGGCTCTGGTCAGCAGCCTACTCCAAACCTTCTTCATGCACTGTCTTATCT